CCGCCTCTCTTCCATAAACAAAGCTAAAGGGGAAGCGTGCCTTTGCCGCCGCTGCCTGCAGACCGATGCAGCTGCACAAACATTTCCCTCATAGTGCAACAGGAGCCCGTGAAGAAAAACACCAACAAAATCCAGAACGTCGCAGTGCTGCTCCACACGTTTCTTTTCAGGGGATCGTTTCAGGAGGGTGGACACAATAATGCAAACACCTGTACCATCTGATATAAAGCAGGCCTGCAGATGCTCTCGCTGGTATTACGGGTGCGCTGAGATTTGAGTTACAGCTGATCACATTATTCTGCCCAATCCTGTGTGTAGGCCCCACCCACAGAAGAGTTTAGGATGAAGGTTATAATCTACCTCGCTGTTACATGCAGCTGATTTGTGTTTTATCTAGCCCAGGCTCGCTGCAGCGGCCAAGTTTGATCCGTGACTGAGCCTGTACGCTAACATGGACACGGCTGCTGTTTGGGGCTAAAACCACTAACACTGTTTTACAGCTCGAGCATTTCCACTCATGCTTCTGTCACACAAACTATACGATATTGTTTCAGGAAAATCTCCTCCTCAGGTAATAACGTGAAAGGAAAATATTGCAGATCTGAGATTTTCTACTAAGAGGAAGTCGGGCTGCTGCAACATTTAGTTTTCTCATTAAGGCTAAAAAGCTTCAAGCTGTTTGTTTCAGAGATATGACCTCTGACTGTTTCTGGTGGAAAGCAGAAACGATCTAGCATCTCTGCTGAGCTGAAACGGTCCACCCAGAAAAGAAACCTCCACCCTCGTGCAGCAGAGACAAACCCACTGTGGATCGTTTCAGAGTGCGGTTTCGCTGCACTTTCAAGGCAAGGATGGATCGTTTTTCTGACACATCAGCGACTCGGAGGACGCGATGTCCAGAAAAGCCACGCATCGTCTCTTAAGAGTGCAGGGGCCGGCCGGTGAGGATGTCTGTAGAAACAAAAAGCCATGGCAACAGAGCGGGGAGCCGATTACCCAGCAGCCAGAGGGGAACGCCACGACCAGGACCAGGACGCCACGTTAACTACAGCATCATGTCAGGGACAAAACTCCAACATGTGCACTTATTTAATGTTCATTAGGTGAACTCAGAGCAATATTAGAACACGAGCACCTGTCTGCTGGCCTTCATCTGCTTGTTCCTTTCACTTCATCGTCTAGTTCGAGCTGTCAGATTTTCATTCCCTGATTATACTGATAATACCACATAATGGATCTAACAGCTTCATTTTATTTACTTTAACTTAGCCGACTAATAATGACAAATGCTAATTTAAATAAATGAACGAAACGAGCAGCAGAGACAGGAGAACGTATCCTCGGCTTTTTCTTTCCAACATTCAGCAACTCTGATTTATTCATTTATCAGATTTTCATTAATATAATCATTGAAATGTTAAATTCATGTGAAGTTGACCTGTTGACCTCTGTGCTATGACAGTGAATAGCTTCATCTTTTCTATTGTGTGCAATAAAACCTGCAATCGCCTGACCTCTTCCCGATGAGTTCCTGCTCTTTTACATCCATTCTGTGCGTTAAAAGGGCGTCCGCATACTTTTGAAGTACGAAGATAAACGTGTGAACTGGCTGACTGAGTAATTAGCTGAATAAACCCCGCCCCTGGCTCCACGTTGCCATGGGCGTGGCCTCTATTGGCCACTTGCAAAGGGCAAAGCATCAAGCAGGTAACAGGAAGCAAGGGCGGCATCTTACCAGTGTTTGATTGGACACACGTCACGGTTACCGCAGCAACATTAGCAGTTTATTACCCCTCCCACACCTGAATCATTAAGCCCGCCCCTCCCACCCCTGTTTAGCAGCATGTTATTGTTACTGTGAGAATGGGCAGACGGGCGGGCGGGCGGACGACACACACTATAGAAATGAAACAAACAAAAAGATGTTAGACACATTTAAAGCCACACAGTTACAATGAGCCCGGAGAGGAGGGAGCGGTTAAGAACCTTTAAACACGCCTCCACGCTCGCCATGTTTAAACATTCAACCGGCACTCCGAAGAAACCAGAGAGAGAGAAAACACACCAGGACACTGAGAAGCTAACAGACTGATGAAGAGTAGCTTCCTTCATCTGAGACCTACTAGAAACAGTGCCAGACACAGAGAGAGAGAGCTGTGCTTCCATCCAACCGTTTTAACATCGGATCGAATGATGACGCTGAGAGCTCGCTGACTCCCGACCTGCCTGCACCGCTCTGTGGACCGACACTTTTACACTAGAGGACGTGACGTCAGAGGACACAAGCCTCAAAGCGCTCCTCTAACGGGACGCTGTCAAAGTTCCCCGAGCCTCTTCTGTCTCCGAACATCTCCAACCGAGTCTCAGGCAGTGCCTGTCGTTCTGGCTGCTTTCTGAGGAGATGTTTCCTGTCTCTGAACTCAAACCCGGCCGAGCTCTTAAAGCTACGTAGAACCTCTCTGTTTGGTTTCATCTTTCAGCAGCCCAACACCCTCGCAACCGCTGCCCAACATCAGAGCAGCCGTCGACGATGTGAGCGTCCCCACTGCAGGACCTCGGGACAGCCTTTATGGACGATGAAGAGGACCGGGATGCTGTTGATGTTGATGATGATATGTTGATTATGGAAGCGTCAATCGATTAGACGCTTGGACCTGGAGAAGGACACGTCCCTTAGAGTGTCCTGTGGGAACAGCGCTTCAGGAGTATGGGGTGTTGAATGGGGTACTTGAATTTAAAATTGAATTGCGTAACCAAGTGGCTGAAAGATTTTACTTTGGAGGTCTCAGAATCTCGTCTCTGCTTTTTACAGATGATGTGGTTCTGTTGGGTCATCAGGTGGTGGATTCACAGCCGAGTGTGAAACTGTGGGAATGAGAATCATTGCCTCCAAGTCTGAGACCATTGTCCTCAGCTGGAAAAGGGTGGAGTAAGAGGCGAGTTACTGCCCCAAGCACCTCGGGTCTTGTTCATGAGTTGGCTGTAAAAGCAAAACTGTCGATTGTCGAATGAGCTCGAATGGCAGGCCTCCCCCTTACAGACAGGGTGAGGAGTGCCATCGTTCGAGGGGGGCTCAGAGTAGAGCCAATGTTCCTCCACATCGAAAGGAGGCAGCTGAGGTGGTTCGGGTATCTAACAAGGATGCCTCCGTTCACATGGGCATTACCCACGGGGAGGAGGCCCACTGGAGAGACTCCATCTCTGGGCTGGCCCAAGAACACCTTGCCCCGTGACCCCAGACAAGCAGAAGAAAATGGATGGAAGGATCTACTTGTTAACTGATGATGTGATCTGATCCTGATCCTATATGATGGTGTAGTGAACTTTTATTGAGAAGTTGGACCGTGTTTAACTGTCAGAGGTCTGATTTTTCGTGAACTGAAGCAGCATTTGGTATTTGGTTAAATATGTCCGACTGATGATGACAGGAACAAAGAAAGAGCAGTTTGATCTATTTCCTCTCTGCAGGTGACAGGTGACTGCTTTCTTGTGAATTTTCCTTCTGTTCGAGCTTTGCTGTCAGTTGGATGGAAGAAGAGCTGCAGACAGACAGAGAGGAAGAAAGGAGGAAGAGGAGGTGAGAGACGGACGTACCGTCTGGAGCTTCACTCAGAGCTTTGCCGGTCATCTCCCGCTCTCCAACCAGCCAGACGTAACCGGAGCCGGTCATGTTGAGCTGCCGGGCGGCTTTGTACACGAGCGCAGCTTCGTCTTCACTGCAAACACACAAACACACAGCAGGTAAGCACTCACCTGTGGCTGACACAAACAGACCAACGAACCAGTCATCAATCACCTGGCAACACTCTGGAAACCAACATATGAAACACGCCTGTGGACACACAGTCTGACTTCTTCTGTTCGAGCTCCAAACATCTCTTTAAAGACCTGATGAAGGTTTGGCTGATTTCACTTCAGTGCAGTCAGTTTTTCTGCACCACAGCACCAGAAACACTGCAGCTCAGTACATCGACTGACCACCACTTTCACAGCATTCCCGAGGACATAATAAGAGCTCCAGGGTCTCCGTGGTTGGTTCTTCCCAGCGGCAAGACAAAGAGGAAACGTAAACAAAGGAGGCAAAAGCGTGGCTGCAGGGCGGGCCCACTAGCACGGCTAAAGAAACAGCCATTTAAGCTACCGCCTCTGAGTATTTTCCTCTCCAACATCAGGTCCATAACCAACAACTACCCAGGACACCGGGTGTTTAAGCTGCTGCCGTCTGGCAGGAGGTTCAGGCTGCTGAGGTCCCGAACAACCAGACTCAAGGACAGTTTTCACAACAGGACAACAGCCCTGATCAATGCTAACAGCTGACCTGACACTTATTCTTCTTTTTTTATTACTAAGTTAATATACTGTGTTGTGTTGTTTGTGTTGCGTTGTGATGTGTCGTATCGTGTCGTGTTGTGTTATATGTAGTGCTGACGTAGGACAGTTTTCCAATTTCATTGTACTACTGTACTATGTATGACTGTGCAATGACAATAAAGAGTTATCTTATCTAATCTTATCTTAGCACCTCACGATGAGCTGAAGCTCGGGCCGTGGCCTTCAGACTTTGGCCTTGTTCAGTTTTGGAATCGCTGCTGGTGTTTTGTGCAGAAGAGTCTGACTTTCATCAGACGATAGAGGCTGATTGTCGTTGTATCAGACTAAGGGCTGATCTTTAGACCTTGTACGTCCTACTCGCGTTTACATGGATCTTTTTACACAACATTTGCAGGTGCTACTTCTACCTGTTGGGGATACACAGATTCAGTCCAACACTTGCTGATGGCTTAGTCACAAAGTTCCTGCAAAGTCATGGCAAGAACAACTTAAACTGTGACCAGTGTCCTAACCCTGATACAGCCTAACTGTGGAAACCACAACATCATCCAATCAGAAACCATCATGGAAACCACACAAACCTGGCAGAGAGGATGATGACTCGGGCCTCCAGGTCTTTCGCCTCCAGCAGCAGGGCGGTAATGTTGGTGTCCTGGCTGAACAGCAGCACCTTCTCAGCCTGGAGGACCACCAGATGGACACAGTGGACGGACGGTAACACCGAGGGACAGTGAGAAACACGGCAGAACAAAACACCACAGAACACATCGCAGGACAGCCATCGTTAGCTCCACATCCACAACCTCCCCAACCACCCACAACCCCAACCTTGACCATGCTCCCTCTCACCCACGCTACCACCGGAGGAGGAGGGGAGGAGGGACGGGAGCAAAAAATGGAGACAAAAAGTGTTCAAGATCTGCTGAACTAAAGAAAACTCAAAGTCGAAGCTGGAATACAAAGAAGGAGGGGCAAAAAGTTGTGCGTGGTGTGGTGGCACATGCAAGCTGAGGCGCTTTCAAGACTCCAACCAACCAACCAATCGGAAACGTGCATGTTAGAGCGCACTGATGCAACTGCAAACTAAAAAAAAAAAAAGATTCAAGTGGAGGGGGGGGAGGAGGGGAGGAAGAGGAGGGGAGGCGGGGAGGAGAAGTGATTCATTTCCAAAAAGAAAAAGAAAAGAGGAGTGAGAGGATCCTGGTGTGCGGTGTTCCTCGATAATCTGCAGACAGAGCCACGCGTCAGCCTGGCCACATGCAACCCTTCACAAAGAAAAACTCGGGGAGGGGGAGGGGGATGAGGAGGGGGGAGGAAGAGGAAGGGCGTCTCTCCTGCGAGTGTAAACCCATTCCCGATGTGCAGGAATCATGAAAAATCAAAAGAAAGAAAAGAGATGGTGGAGAAAAGACGTGCCACCAGGATAAGAGTCTATCTCTGGAGCCGGGTTGGATTCTGGGCGGGCGGGGCTAACTGGTGTTTGGCTACTACTGGGCGAGCTCAGAGATTGGTTGGGCGGCGTGCATCATTTGACCATGCAAGTTTATACCTTGGGTGTTCTCCTGAAGTCAAAGTTCTGTTGGTCGAGGTTTTCATAGTTCCTGTTTTTAGTCTGATGGGTAATGTGCACAGAGAAAATATGCAGACACAGAAGAAGATTATAGACAGTCAGAAAAATGGGGGGGGGGGTAGCAAAGCATCCAATAAATGATTGATTTCTTCTGCAGGAGTCGGACGCAAACACATCGCAGTCTGCCCAGCGGTCTGTCGACCTGCGTCCAGTTCGGACTTTTCTTCTTTTTAATAATAACCTCAGTGTGCAGCGCCCCCTGGTGTGTGGACAACAGCAGCACGTGTTAACCAGTAACATCTGGATGAGGTTTCTAAGCACTGCTGTGCTAAAGGTGTAAGTTTTAACAAAATGAAATGGAGTGATTTGTTTTCTAAGCAGTGATGTCAGGATATCAACCATAGGATGGCCATTATCGCCCAAAACTCCCTGAATGAAGAGGAAACCACTCACCCTGAGATAAACTATAACCTTCTGGTTTTATCTAAAGGTATAAACACGTATTAATCAGCTGTTTCCCCTTAACCTCTTCAAACCCCCTGCTCCTAAAAAGCACATTTGTTCCTGATTGGCCAGTTTCTGGAAGCCTGCTGAGGAGCAGAATGCCTGCACTGCATGGTTTCAGACATACAGAGGTTTGAAAATGAGTCCAATTCTCATTTCCTGAACCCCGCTGCTGTGTACTTTTAATTAAGCGATGACTTTCTCCGTTTCATCATGTTTCATGTTGTTTTTTCTGAACAAAGATCGGGATGTAATAAAGCGTCTGTTCCTGTACGTTAAACTGTCCTGCAGTCCTAGAATGACCCGTAGACGCTTCCTCCCTGATATCAGTAATGACATCATCGTTAGTGCTTTCAGTAGAACATAGACAGCGGAGGCTCATGCATGAAGGCTGTGATTTTGAGCTGTGATTAAAGAACAGGTGCTAATTATAACGGCTGTTGCGGAGCCGTGACCGGCTCGCTATATTTAGTCTGAGGTGTAAAATCGCTCCTGAAGCCTGCCTGCAGGCGTGAACGCAGACGCTTTATTTTTAGAGAACAAAGAGACGCTTTGACTCAGAAGCCTGTCGAACTTCACAGCTCAGCCGTGATCAAGCACTCGTCGCTTCGGCTCCTCAGGATGAAGAGCTAAGCCTGAACCTCACCACAAACCCAGCTCGGTCTCATTTGATCCACACTCAGACTTCCCTCTCTGCAAACTTCCTGTGATGTTAATCCGCTGTGGCGGCGGCGCGTCCCATTAGTCCTCGACTCGATCCGCTCCCAATGTTAATCTCATTAAATTTACATCCGTGCGCAAAGTCCCCGAACAGCACGGCCTCGCTCTGAGAGCGCTTCAACCGACCTGCACACACCTAATGACACGTCCAGGTTTGTTACTGTTTTACACCTGAGCCCAGTCCGCTGCACGGAGAATCACAGCTTCAGACCCACAACTGCAAAATACAAAGCAACGAAAGTTTCAGTGTCACAGAGTAAAGGCGCTCCAAAGATAAGACAGAGGATCAGATCCCACGTACGGAAAATCTTTTCCAAGATTAAAAGTACAGTGTGGAAAACCTCACCACTAGACGTCAGTAGCAGTCAGCTGAGTTCTGTTTCTAATCCTTCTAATCCAGTGCATAATCCTAGCTACGGTGGCTGCTCTGGGACAAACATGTTGTAGGCAGCCAAAAGATATCAGAAACACGACATTTAGACTCCTCCCCATAATGGCCAGCGTGTTTCTGCTACTGTTTGTGTTTTTGGGGGTAGTATTGGACGATAAATTAAAATGGAAATCTCATATTGAACATGTTAGAAAAAAGATGGTTAAAAATATTTCTGGGTAATGTCAGAGATATACTAGATAAGGCAATGCGTATTTTATATTTCGCACTAATTTCCCCCTATCTCAGTTATTGTGCTGAGGTGTGGGGGAATTCATATGCGACTAAAATAAATGCTCTATACTTGTTACAGAAGAAAGTGGTACGAATGGTTCATAATGTTAAATATAGAGAACAAACAAATAATCTGTTTATAAAATCAAAATTGTTGAAATTTGAAGACTTAGTGAAATTACAGACATTATTATTCATGTGCAAGGCAAGAAATAACACATTACCTCTTAAGTTACAAAGTTTGTTTGTATTGTGTTCAGGAAGTGGGGACAGTAGAAGGAAGTTTGACTTTAAGCATCAGTTTGCTAAAACCACACAAAGGCAAATGTGTCCGACAGTCAAAGGTATAAGAACCTCTTGAAGATAATCTCAAGAGTTGTACAAACATGCACCTTTTCAAAAGTGTTACATACTTAACAGGATAAATCAATATGAAGAACATGAAAGTAATTTGGGCTAAATGTGGAAGGAAAACATTTCATTGCCATTTAATGCTGTATATTGTGATTATACTGATTTGTTGTTTAGTTTTGCATTGTTACATAAAAATACATGTTAGAGGGTTTTTTGGGGGTTGTTGGCGCCTTCTTGTAAGAATAATTGGATTGCAGATAGGGGGCAGGCGCTAACAAGAGTTTATTCTTCTTGCTGCTCCTTTTCACCCACGGGTGCTGTGTCATATTAATGGGAAGGAGGTTCTGTATGTAGGAAACGAAACACTGTTGAACCATGTGTGAAATTAATAAAGAAATGAAATGTAATAAATATTTCTGCACAAACTAACATATTTGAATAATATCAGCACTCAGCTATAAACAGATATGTGTGAATCACATTTTCACTTTAAGCCTATCCGGTCTTTTAGTCTGATGCCATCAGCTGTTTCCAGGTCCAAACTCCGCTTCAGGTCCCAAAGTCAAACAAACACTGCAGCATCACTGAGTTAAAAACTGTCTAAAGTCTTTCATCTTTAATAAAATGATCAGCGTTGCTGCTTTACCAGGTGTAACAATTAAGTTTAACATCCAGGCATCCATGAAAACAGGATTTATTAAATTCAGTTAGAAGTTAGCAGGAAGTTAGCTCGCTAGCTTCCACCTAAACATGATATAGCATGTTCTGAGAGATTTCAGAGAATTCAAACGTACAGCTCTGCTGTCACTTCAACATAAATGAAGACAGAAAACTAAACAGCAGTGACTTTTGTAGAGTTACTGAAGTTGGGCTAGCTGCTATATAATGATGTGCTACGTGATCGCTAGCGACACAGTGATCACTGACTGTTTTTAGGGGCTTGTTGAGATTAAATAGAACAAGATATGTTAAAAACACAACAGCCTTAATAAACGCAGAGTAGTTTGTTCACACGTCATCACTTAACAACAGGATAGTGAGTGTGGGCTGTCAGCGTGCTGTGAGTCACAGCTGGTGTCCACCTGTCGGTTCGAGTTCCCTCTGACCGAGGACGTGTCGGAGATCACTGCTGTTCACTTCTAATCACCATCAAACACTATCAGACACAACATGATCAATGACAACGCACTGATTTGTTGGATGGTGTGTGTGCGCGCGTGTGTGTGAGTGTGTGGGTGTGTGTGCCCGTGTGTGTGGGTGTGTGAGTGTGTGTGTGTGTGTGCGAGTGTGTGTGAGTGTGTGTGTGGTCCTAGGTGCTGTGTGTGTGGTGTAGTGTGCAGTGCTGTGTGTGCGCTTGTGTGGTGTGGTGGAGTGTGTGTGTGGTGTGTGTGTGTGTGGTGTGTGTGTGTGTGTGTGTGTGCGCGCGTGTGTGTCACTCCCTCTTGGTCACATGTCCGGGATCTGTAGGTTAGGGAAGCGATTCTTCCTGGTTTCCATTGAAAGCCAGCGTGTCATTAACCAATCAGGTCAAACAGGCTGTTTAAACTGTTTTTTCTTGGATTCTTTATGTTCACCTACTTTCATCAACAATGATAAGAAGAGAAAACTTGACGTCCTGAACCAAATACGATCCATCGTCTCTTCTCTCCGACAGCAGTGCTGGGTTTAATGTGAGCTCGTTGATTATTTTCTTTTTTTATCGTATTATGTCGTCTGTCAGTATCTCACATGGAAACATGTGTAAGTTTGGCTGCAGCTTAATGTTTGCTTCTAATTAGGCGATTTGGTAATCTGGTGCAACGTAGGAAGAATGTATATACTTCAAATTAAAGTGCTTGGCTACAGGCTTTTATTTTGAAATGTGTGTGGCGTACAGCAGGTTGTTGGTGCTGGTGGGTATTACATGCTTTGTTAAAGCCGGATATTTAAAGCAGGAACAACACATGACAGCCGCCGCCGCTCGGTTCACCGACTTTAGCTAATGTGCTGTAATATTCATGCGTCTCCCACTTTAAAAAGTCTCTCCTCCAATATTCATGAAGGTGTTTGACTCAAACTGAGAGACACAAAGTCACATTGAAACTTTTCTAAAGTCTCATCTGCACTCTGGAGGATTTCTTCTGTCTCTTTCTGCATTTCTTATTTTGAACCGTAGAAAAATATGAAGTGTTCACGCTTTGAGAAATATAAACAGAGCCGTTGCTGCTTTGTCATTAACAAACAAATCCTCCTTTTCTTTTACTGCTTCTTACTTCCTGCCTCCATCTTCATTTGCTGCTTTTGAGTTGCTGTAAACATCACAGCACCACAGCGAGACGATTCATCGCAACCAGCAGAAGGATGGTTTACTGACTCTCTCTACCCGCCCGCAAAACCACTTTGTCTAATATGTTTGTCAGTGAACATAACGCAGAGTCACTCTCTCACTCACCTGAGGACTCATTAAAAACAGCGTCGACCTCGCTCGACATCACCAATCAGGCGTTTTACATCATAAGCATATAAAAATGTTGAAACAGTTTAAAAACTTCTGAGCTGGATTAAGGTTGAAGCCTCACAATAAAAAACCTACTGATGTCCGTTTTGCCGATTCTTTCCTCTGACTTGAACAAACTGGTTAGCCGTCGTTAACTGGGAAAAATGGGATCACTTTCTGTGTTCTTCTATTAACCTGACACACCTCCACCTGGTGGAGAACAGTTTCTGATGCTCCTCTGTGGCAGCTGACTCCATGTTCCCGTGACCCCGCGTTGACCTCCATGCTCCTAATTCTGAGGCCTTCTCATGAACGAGCAGCTGGACCACCTCTCAGCGCTGGTGTCCACACCACAGGGAAGCTAAGGAGGTTACAAGCATCGTTTTATTATCGTAGGGTCTGCCTTACAACATAAAGCGCCTTGAGGCGACTGCTGTGTAAATAAAATTGACTTGAATTGAAGTTTCTGTACTTATTAAATCCTGCACATGTATTTTAAATTTGGCGATGCGTGTTTACTGAATCCTTTAACTGTGGTGTCGTGATGTTTACAGCAGAAGCTCATCAAACAGGGAAACCAGTTTACGTGCTGGTTGGCCTGAACTCTTGGGGTTTCCCTCGTGTCGAAGCTCTGCTGCATGTCAGTCGCACAGAGAGAGTCGCTTTGACAGTCAGTCAGGTCGACAGCTGCCACAGAAGCAGCTGAGATGTGTTTGCATGACTCCGACTCCGTCAGAGCCGAGGCGATGAGAAACCAGACGGAGGAGCAACTGAAAGGATGACGTGAACGGACAGACAGGAAGAGAGAGAGCGACAGGAAGAGGAGGAGAGGAAAAAATGAACTCAAAGTCAACTCAAGATTGAAAAATAGAAGAAACGAAAAAGTAGAAAGTAAAACAAAAAGCACCAAAAACCTCCACCAAGACAGAAAAGTATTCCAACAATAAAACATTCATCTTCTAACAATACACAGTGATGGAAAACCATGAGACATTCAGGAGCTGCAGCACATCAGACCTGCTGGTCCTCAGTCAAGACCAGCAGGGCTTGAATTATGGCCAGGAGGTCCAGAGTCAAGACCATTCAGTCCTAAATCCAGACTAGCAGGTCCAGAATCATGATTGCTGGGTCCACAGTCAAGACCAACAAGTCCTGACTCAAGAGCAATAAGTTCAGAGTCAGGACCAGCACATCCGGGGTCAAGACAGAAAATCGAAGGTCAAGATGGGCAGGTCCAGAACTGTGGTCAGCAAGTCGAGACCAAGAGTCAAGATCAGCAGGTCTAAAATTATGACCAGTCTAGAGTTCAGTCCAGACCAACAGGTCTAGCACAGTCCAGCACAGTCCAGCACAGTCCAGTCCAGTCCAGTCCAGTCCAGCACAGTCCAGTTCAGCACAGTCCAGTACAGTCCAGTCCAGCACAGTCCAGTCCAGCACAGTCCAGCACAGTCCAGTCCAGCACAGTCCAGTCCAGCACAGTCCAGTCCACTCCAGTCCAGTACAGTCCAGCAAACGTGTGAAACCTGCTGTGAGGACAATTAAAGTGTGGCCAGAGGGGACAGACGCAGTGCTCCAGGACAGATTTAAAAACACAGACTGGAATATGTTCACCCACACAGACCTGGACCAGTACGCCTCATCTGTACTGGATTACATCTCCAAAACCACAGACAGTGTCACCACCCAGAAACGGATCACCATGTACCCCAACCAGAAGCCTTGGATGAATGTTCGGATGTTCGTCTCCTCCTGAAGGCCCGCAACACCGCCTTTAGGTCAGGAGATGCACAGGCCTACAGCACAGCCAGGGCTAATCTAAAGAAGGGAATCAAAAAGGCCAAACACCATTACAAAAAGAAGGTAGAAGAACACTTCTCCAACTCCAACCCCCGACGCATGTGGCAAGGACTCCAGACCATTACAGACTACAGGACCACCAAACCCTCCCCCGCATCCTCTGATGTCTCCTTCCTCAACGAGCTCAACAACTTTTATGCTCGTTTTGAGCGAGGGAACCCCACAACCACAACCAAAGCAGACGTGACGCCAGACCACCAACCTCTGACTCTCTCCCCCACCGATGTAGGAGCGGTGCTGAGCAGGATCAATGTCCACAAGGCTGCAGGTCCTGATGGCATCCCCGGGCGTGTTCTCAGAGCGTGTTCTGGGGAGCTTGCAGGAGTGCTGACAGACATATTCAATCTGTCCTTGGCCCACGCTGTGGTACTGGCCTGCTTCAAATCCACCTCCATCGTCCCGATACCCAAAAACTCCAACCCATCTTGCCTCAATGATTACCGCCCAGTAGCACTCACCCCCATCATCACTAAGTGCTTAGAGCAGCTGGTCCTAGCACACTTCAAATCCTGTCTCCCCCACCCTGGACCCCCACCAATTCGCATACCGCCAGAACAGGAGCACAGAGGATGCAGTCTCCATCGCACTGCACTCTGTCCTCTCACACCTGGACAACAACAACACCTACGCCAGAATGCTGTTTATAGACTTCAGTTCAGCATTCAATACAATCCACCCCTCACAACTCATCAGGAAACTGACAGACCTGGGCATCAGTTCCCTCATCTGCAAATGGTTACTGGACTTCCTGACCAACCGCCCCCAACATGTCCGGCTGGATAACCGCTGCTCATCTACAATCACGATGAACACCGGTGTACCACAAGGCTGTGTGATGAGCCCTTTCCTCTACTCCCTCTTCACCCACGACTGCAGACCTGCTGATGGTTCCAACACCATCATTAAGTTTGCAGATGACACCACGGTGATTGGCCTCATCAGTGACAACGATGAGGCCGCCTACAGGGAGGAGGTGGATCGTCTGGCTGAGTGGTGCGACACAAACAACCTGCTGCTTAACACCGAGAAGACCAAGGAGCTCATCGTGGACTACAGGAGGAATGCTGACCCACATCCACCCATCCACATTAAGGGGACGGCTGTGGAGCGTGTGAGCAGCTTCAAGTTCCTGGGAGTCCACATCTCCGAGGATCTCATCTGGACGACCAACTGCTCCAAGCTGGTCAAGAAGGCTCACCAGCGCCTCTTCTTCTTGAGGACTCTGAGGAAGAACCACCTGTCCTCAGACATCCTGGTGAACTTCTATCGTTGCACCATCGAGAGCATCCTGACCAACTGTATAACAGTCTGGTACGGGAACTGCTCTGCCTCGGACCGGAAGGCGTTGCAGAGGGTCGTGAAAACTGCCCAGCGCATCGCCGGAGCACCACTTCCTGCCATAAAAGACATCTACAGGAAGCGGTGTCTGAAAAGGGCTGGGAAAATCATCAAAGACCCCAGTCACCCATCACATGGACTCTTCACCCTCCTGCCCTCTGGGAGGCGCCACAGGAGCCTCCGGACTAAGACCACCAGGTACCGGAACAGCTTCTTCCCCACAGCTGTCAGACTCCTGAACTCTGCCTCCTGACATCTGACCCACGTTAACACATGGACTGAACATACACACACCCACAATGGACAACTGTACCCTCAAACACACAATAATAACATGGACTGAACCACCACTCACAACCACCAGCACTTTATATAGCCTCTGTAGAAACTATCTACACCCTCACTTATCTTAACTGCACTACTGTATAGCTCTGTGTAAATAATCATTCTGTACATTCGATAATCTTTAATCCTACAACTGTTTACAACTTGCATAGTTCCCATTTCTGTATAGCTGTATATCTCAGATTCTGTAAAGTTATTTATTTCATATTCTGTATAGTTTTTCATATTTATATCCTGTTCATAGCCTGTACATAGCTTGTACTCACTACAGCCTGTACATACTTATAGTTATAGAATATTCACAACATACTTCATACCGTGTACATTATAACATACCATAATAGACCCATTTCTGTAATATACTTACATATCTATATTATTGCTAATATATATTGTAATATATCTATATCACTAAAGCACTTCTGGATGGATGCAAACTGCATTTCGTTGCCCTGTACCTGTGCATGTGCAATGACAATAAAGTTGAATTCTATTCTATTCTATTCTATTCTATTCTAACTTACTAGTCAGTCTCCAAAACCTCCTGGATCTGCATTTCACACATGGAGGTCATGTTTGATCATGTTTGTGATTCTTATCCTGGTTTGGATCACGTGTGGCATCAGGTGTTTATTGAGAACATAAAAACCCGGGGCAGTGAGCAGCTTCAGCTACACACAGGTCAGCTATTTAAAATAAAAGCAGAGATCGATCATTCTGCCTCATCTGGTTCTTTATGATCCATGTAAACAGAAAATCTGTAAAACCTCTTGGTGGAGATAAGAAAAGAAAAAGAACACAATAGAAAATAAAGAAAAAGGATGAAAGAGAAGCTGCTGTGAAGCATCTGGCAGAAAGAATATTAAAGCTAATGAAGGACAATGAAGGACAGATGAAGGAAGGATGAAGGAGAGATGAAGGAGGGACGAAGGAAGGATGAAGGAAGGATGAGGGAGCGATGAAGTAGCAATCCTGGAGAAATTACAGAGCGATGATGGAGGGATGAAGGCCTCTCACACAGCAGCTCATTATTTATCATGCGGCTAAACTACACAAACCTGCATCTGAATAACGTGCGCCCACACACACACACACACACACGTGATGTGCAGCACATTGAGACTGCATGTCCGTGTCTATGAGCTCATATGTGGGCGTGTCCTTGCTGACCTTGGTCTCACGCTCCTCCAGCAGGGTCTCCAGTCTCTTCTGGGCGGCTCGGCCCTCGTGGTCGTCGCTCACGATCAGAATGATGTGATTCCACCTGAACTCCCTCATCAGGTCGAACCACACCTGTGCCTGGTGAGAGTATGGAGGCACCGTCCTCAGGAACGACAGGTGGATGCTCTGCACGAGAGGAGGTGGAGGAGGTTAACCCAACAGGTTCTTACTCTACTTTGATTTTATCCAGAAACATCCATCCTTCACATGTATGATGAGTTGACATCATAACGAACCAGAGATCAGGAAGAAGCTCTACAGAACCAAAAGCCAGAAAAGCGATAATATGATCGTCTGCAGAAACATAACAGCTGCTATAAAAAGATTAGCCAATACTTCCTGAACACGTTTATCAAACACTGTACTGCTGAGTGAAAGCACACAAAGAACAAAACAGATGTAGTCTGACTTACTGCAGCTGCCTCCACCTGAAAAATGTGTGAATATTTCATGTGTATAAAACCTGGTGAGGAACCAGAGCGCTGTTCACTGGGAGCACTGGGATATCCTATGGTAGGAAGTCCTGCCATTAATTAATTCTTCGATCTTAAATATGATCAACCTATCTCTAATGATCGGCTATGTACCACAGGCCTTCAAGCTGGCTGTAGTTAAACCTTTACTCAAAAAGCATCTCTAGACCCAGCAGTCTTAGCTAATTATAGGCCAATCTCCAACCTTCCTTTCATATCAAAAATCCTTGAAAGAGTAGTTGTCAAACAGCTAACAGATCATCTGCAGAGGTTTATTTGAAGAGTTTCAGTCAGGTTTCAGAGCTCAGCACAGAAACAGCTTTAGTGAAGGTTACAAATGATCTTCTTATGGCCTCTGACAGTGGACTCATCTCTGTGCTTGTCCTGCTAGACCTTAGTGCAGCATTCGATACTGTCGACCATAATATCCTATTAGAGCGATTAGAACATGCTGTAGGTATTACAGGTACTGTCTGCAGTGGTTTGTATCATATCTATCTAATAGACTCCAGTTTGTGCATGTAAATGGAGAGTCCTCTTCACACACTGAGGTTAATTATGGAGTTCCACAGGGTTCAGTGCTAGGACCAATTCTGTTTACATTATACATGCTTCCCTTAGGCAGCATCATTAGAAGACATAGCATACATTTACACTGCTATGCAGATGACACCCAGCTCTATCTGTCCATGAAGCCAGATAACACACACCAATGAGTTAAACTGCAGGAATGTCTTAAAGACATAAAGACCTGGATGGCCGCTAACTTTCTGCTTCTTAATTCAGATCAAACTGAGGTTATTGTACTCGGCCCTGAAAATCTTAGAAATATGGTATCTAACCAGATTCTTACTCTGGATGGCATTACCTTGGCCTCCAGTAACGCTGTGAGGAACCTTGGAGTCATTTTTGACCAGGACATGTCCTTCAACACACATATTAAACAAATATGTAAGACTGCTTTCTTTCGCATTTTATTTGTAGTGTGAACAAGCAGACAAAACAATCGGATTTCATCAAGAAATTGGAATTGAGCATTAAGACCTTTGCCTCAGTGAGTCCTGCATTTTGGGTCCTTCCTTCCTGCACACAGCTATGACACATACAAGGTCTTAAATAATCAGGCCCCATCTTATCTTAATGACCTTGTAGTACCATATCACCCTATTAGAGCACTTCGCTCTCGCTCTGCAGGCCTACTTGTTGTTCCTAGAGTATTTAAAAGTAGAATGGGAGGCAGAGCCTTCAGTTTTCAGGCCCCTCTTCTGTGGAACCAGCTTCCAGTTTGGATTCAGGAGACAGACACTATCTCTACTTTCAAGATTAGGCTTCAAACTTTCCTTTTTGCTAAAGCATATAGTTAGGGCTGGACCAGGTGACCCTGAATCCTCCCTTAGTTATGCTGCAATAGATGTAGGCTGCCGGGGGATTCCCATGATGCACTGGGTGTTTCTTCTTCACTCACTATGTGTTAACAGACCTCTCTGCACTGAATCATGTCTGTTATTAACCTCTGTCTCTCTCCCACAGCATGTCTTTATCCTGTCTTCCTTTGCTTTTGTTTGAACTCTTATTCAGCCAAATAAAGGCTCGCTTTTTGTTATCATCCACCTCCATCCTTGTCTGTATTCTGGGTCCACATTCACCTGATTCCACGCCGTTCACCTCTGCAGACGTGACACCTTTTGTGATTTTTCACTCGTTCTGTGTGTTTTCTGATTGGGACACCTGGATGTCATCTGCATAAAAGTGAACTTTCCTGATTTTCACTCCAGTGGAGAAAATTCAGAACCAAGATGAAAGGCTCTGACGAATAAAACAGTGATGGATGCAAACAGCTGTGTAAAGAACCAGGATCAGATCCTCATGTGAGCGTTGCAGCTCAGACCGTCAGCGCTCTGCTGTAACAGACTGACCGAGCTAACCTTATCAGAGTAGATGGACATGCGTGTCGTCAGGCCGACCACGGGGATTCGGTAGAAACCGGCGGTGTAGGAGACAGGCGTTGGAGTCAGGTGGTCGTTGGACTGTGGAGGATGGCTGACCAGAATGGCGTACACCTACAGAGTAAGACAAACACATCTCAGTTCAGATGTCCGTGTACCACACAGAAAGGTCGAGTAGAAAGTAGCGCCGGCGGGTTTGATGGATTTTTCTAGAATTACTATTTGATGTTAGAGGTCTGCAGAAAAGCAGCAGTGAGCTGTGGTTTCTGGAGACACGTAGCACATCTGTAGCACATCTGTCACATTAGCTGGAACTTTTTATGATTTCTCAGTTATTCGGTGGGTTTTCCCTTGTTTTCAGTGAGACAGAGAAATGTTTCATGTTAATCAGTCCTTCGTGTCTAATGACTGGCCCTGTGATGCAGACGCAGGATTTTTCCACGATGCAAACAGTAAACGCTGCAGAGTAACTGCTGGGAACAAATCCTGCTCTGTGAATCCTACGAGCCAAACGATCCAGGACGTTCACACGTAACAAAGCGTAAAACGTTCAAATCGACCGTAAGACCTTTGATACTAACTCAGGTTACAGTTCAGTGCAAACATTTCTGCCTCACACATAAGATGTTAATGATACAGATGAAAAGATTCTTAAAATTACATTTGATGAGTTTATTCTTCATATTTGTGTAAATGATGAAGGCAATTTTTCCTTCAGTTCAATCTTTGCAGTTAAATGTAGAGAACGAGGAATCTGCTCACAGCAGCTTTGCTGACAGGTTTGTGTCCAACAGCAGGACGACTGTAGGCCGTTACACTCGTGTTTGCGCTGCATCCTGTAGTAAAACCTGCACATGTGTTTGGATCAGTGAGATCAAAGTCATCCCAGGCTGCTGAGTAACATTTAAAAAAATGATAAAAGTTTTGTCTGCAGTTTGAAATCAGTCAAATAATATAAAATGCTGGTTTCACTGGTATAAACCAACTCCGCCCATGTTGTGAAGGTTCAGACTGGTCGGTGTTTATGACGAGTAAAATCATCCTTCCTGGATCCCAGTTTGAGAAATGGTTCCATTTCACCAGCTTCAGAGAAACCTCAGCAATCTGCAGAGAAACTTTTATGTCCTGCCGAGTGTTTGCAGCTTTAGACAGAAATCAGAGAGCGTGAGCTGAAACTCTTGCGTCACTACGCATGCCGACGCTCTAGCAGAATAACTTTGTGGTGAATCACCGAGCAGCTCGATTGTATTTAAAATCGGACCTGAAGAAAATGAAGTAAACACTGGATGTGTCTCGGTTCAGATACTTCTGTTAGTACACTTGTGTGACTTGTGTAGTACTTGAAAGGGTCATGTTATCAAACTTTAGACTAAACATTTAAATTCTGTTCAGCAGAACCCGCCCCCCATCAAGGAAAAAGCTGAGGCGGTCGGTCAGGAAGGTCTTCCCCATTAAAATGCTTAATCCTTGCTAATGCTAGCTGTGTGTCCACACAGTGCACAGGTAAATGATCTCAGATCAGTGAAAGCAGCAGCAGCTTGTCAGTGATGCTGGTCTCCCATCAGTCTCTCATCAAACAGATTTAACAACCAGAAAATGCTTCTGGTCTCAGCTTGACACGGACACATCAAAATGACAGGAACCACAGCTTCCAGAGTTATTCGTGCTTCCAGAGACAGCAGCCCGCTGTGACCACTTATGTAACCATCAACAGACTGGATACAAACAAGGCTGAATGTCGTTTGAACGTTAAGGAGAGCGAGGTCTACTTTTGGACTTCACTGGACCAGCACTGCCCGCCTTGCTTGCCCAGACTGATTGCTGGTGGCACCTGCGGCTGTCCAGTCCGGGCATTATTGTGCTCTGCATGTGTGAAAGTGCTCAGACTTCTTGTCACTTTTGCCGTTTAAAGCTCTTTTTTTCCCCTACAGGTGTTGTATTACAATTAAACGCATGTAGTGTCTTTGTACAGTGTTCACAGTGAAAGCAGCGTTATCCTGAACGTTGTCATTTATGTTAACAATCAAAATATCTTTTAAAACACAGATGCCAGTAACGATGTTTAGTGTGATTGCTACAATAAATAAAACCAACTAAATGAATAAAACGTTATGTTCATTCTGATAGTGTCATTAATAATTCTGCGTATCTAATTCATCTTCTTAATAATTCATTTATGTAAGACGAGTCATTCATACTGTACACTCATTGGCCCCTTTGTTCAACTGCCTGCTAACCTAAACATCTAACCAGCCAATCACATGGCAGCAACTCAGCGCATTCAAGACGACCTGCAGAGGTTCAAACTAAGCATCAGTAAGTACGCGATGCGACTGCACGGTCGGTCATCTCAGTGTGTCAGAAACGAAAACATCTCCAGAGTTTACAGACAAACAAATAAAATAAAAAGAACAAAAACACGCAGTCGGCAGCAGTTCTCTGGGAGAAAATGCCCTGCTGACATCAGAGGTCAGAGGTCAGAGACAGACTGCTTTCAACTCATAACCAAAGGTTGCATACGAGCATCTCTGAACAGCAGACGGGCACATTCACAAAAACCGGACGACAGAAGACGAAAAAACATTTCCTGGTCTGACGATTCTCCGACAGCATCTCGCCTTTACTCTTCACTGGTGTTCAGGCTGGTGTGACGTCGTGAGGCAGATTTTCAGGACCAGCTGAGCATCATCTGAACTCCCGAGTGTTGCTGCTGACCACGTCCATCCTGTCATGACCACAGCCCTGATGCCTGCTTCCAGCACGCTCCGTGGCAAAAGGTCAGATTATCTCAAACTGTTTCCTGAACAGGAAGATGAGTCCGCTGTACTCAGACCGCCGCTACTGTCAGCAGATCAAAGAGTTTGTGTTGGTGCACGTTACTTCAATAGTGTCCTGTTTTATTCAGTTGCTTCTTCCACTGCAAGAGTGCAAGACCATCTGAGGCTCTTAGTGTGAAGGGCAACAGGAAGGAACAAATGTTTTCTGGTCTGGACATCAGGCACAGACAGAGAGAGTGTGAGACGTGGACTCCCGTCTCCTCTGAGCTCGGAGGAAGCTGCGGCTTTTACAAGTATGAAGCCGACGTTCGCCTCGTGACCTCAGACTGAGCTGGATATCATTTCCACAGGCAGACTCTACCTGTTAACAGCTTCTGTTCATCCTGATATGATGGATGCATCATCGTATCATGTTTTTAATAAACTAACCGCAGTGAAAGCACGTTTTCTTTTCCCTGTCAGCAGCACAAACAGGACCTGTGACCACATGAAACCACCAGCAGCTGCTCAGCCGAACCAAGCAGCCTGCAGCAAACACAGTTACAGGCCTGCGCTGTAATCCCTGCATCTCTCTGGACGGATTACATCTGCGTTCCTGCAGACAGAGAGAGAGAGGACAGTAATCTGACGTCCATCGCTCCCTCTGACACATCGACGCCATGTTGGCCTCATTTCTCCACAAAGGAAACAGGTTACAGAGCCCGTGTTGGATGAATAGTCTTTTCTCTGATGGTTGCACATAAAAACACATAAATATTTCTGATGCACTCAAAGAGCAGCTGTTTGCTGACAATCTGACAGGATTTGATTTGATTGCATCTGTTTGAAATCATTGTAATATCTTTTTAAAGGCACAAAAACACTGCTTGTTTCTATGCTTTCGTTCTGAGATGGATGGCTACTCTGTTACGCACTGCTTCCATCGTACAGTGAGGAGGTGTTTGCCCTCTTCCTGTGTTTTTCCATGTTTGACACATTTGAACGTTTCAGATCATTAAACAAATTTAAATATTAGACAAAGATTAGCACAAGTAAACACAAAAAATCCAAACCTACATGTGACCTCTTGGTCGTCGCTGCACTCTTGGGGTAATTTTGGTCGGCCGGCCACTCGTGGGAAGGTTCTCCACTGTTCCTGTGACAGTGTGTGGTTAAAGGCTCTCACTGTGGGTCGCTTTGTCCAATATTTACATTTGTTTCACTCGCTGGACCCACGTCCTCATTTTATGTTTGACAGCGTTTTAGTAGGTAAAGGTGATGCTTGGGCATGAGCTGAGCTGCGGTTTGGGGAAGGCTTTGAGGGGGCCTGGCGACGGCTCCCGGGCCCGGCAGATCCCCACGTACTGAACAGAAGTGAAGAAGTTACAGAATTGAAAAGGGGAGGAGCACGTAAACGAGAATGACAGCTTGCAGGACTGGGGGAACCTGTACAGATGAGGACCGGAAGGAGCATGTTTGGAGGCGTGGTCCCGCTCCTGAAATTCCCATACATAATCTCCAATTAATGATGTGAAACATTAAAGTGTGACAAACCTTAAAAAAAGTAATTGGAAAGGGGAAAATCGCTTCAACAGCACTGTAAGTATAAATCCCCGCTCGCCCCTGCAGGCGGTTTATCCTTCAAGCTCGGGTCCTCTACCAGAGGCCTGGGAGCTTGAGGGTCCTGCGCAGTATCTTAGCTGTTCCCAGGACTGCGCTCTTCTGGACAGAGATCTCCGATGTTATTCCCGGGATCTGCTGGAGCCACTCGCCTAGCTTGGGAGTTACCGCACCTAGTGCTCCGATTACCACGGGGACCACCGTTACCTTCACCCTCCACATCCTCTCGAGCTCTTCTCTGAGCCCTTGGTATTTCTCCAGCTTCTCGTGTTCCTTCTTCCTGATATTGCTGTCATTCGGAACCGCTACATCGATCACTACGGCCGTCTTCTTCTGTTTGTCTACCACCACTATGTCCGGTTGGTTAGCCACCACCATTTTGTCCGTCTGTATCTGGAAGTCCCACAGGATCTTAGCTCGGTCATTCTCCACCACCCTTGGGGGCATCTCCCATTTTGACCTCGGGACTTCCAGGTTATACTCGGCACAGATGTTCCTGTACACTATGCCGGCCACTTGGTCTATGGATCTTGTACTCAGAGCTTGTTCTTGTGCTGCCATGATTAGTGCCTCTGTGCTGTCTTTCAGTCCAGCTTTGTCCAGCCACTGGTAGGATTTCTGGATATCAGCCACCTCCTCTATCTGCCGGTGGTACATACCGTGCAGGGGCCTGTCCTTCCATGATGGTTCCTCGTCTCCCTCCTCTTTCTTGGGTTTCTGCTGCCTGAGGTATTCACTGAGCACTCGGTCAGTTGGGGCCATCTTCCCAATGTATTCTTGGATGTTCGTTGTCTCATCCTGGACTGTGGTGCTGACACTCACCAGTCCCCGGCCCCCTTCCTTCCGCTTAGCGTACAGCCTCAGGGTGCTGGACTTGGGACTTGCCTGACCCTCTGCAGGTACTTGGTGGTTGCAGCTTTCTAGCGGCCTCTTCATGGTTCCCATTCGCCTGCGGGATCCCCAGGTACTTGTAACTGTCCTCTATGTCTGCAATGTTGCCTTCTGGTAGTTCAATCCCCTCAGTTCTGACTACCTTCCCTCTCTTTGTTACCATCCGACTACACTTCTCCAGTCCGAACGACATTCCAATGTCATTGCTGTATATCCTGGTGGTGTGGATCAGTGACTCGATGTCTCGTTCACTCTTGGCATACAGCTCAAAGCTATTCAAGTTTTAATCTTGTGCAGTCGGGCAGTGAGGCCTTCAGATGGTTTACATAAATCTTACGTCTGCATAGAGGTCTGAGATTACTTCTCCTAAAAAAGTCACTAAATTAGACTGAGTCAGTCTTCAGGTCCACAAACAGGACAGAAGACTGAATCATGTTTGTGCAAAAATGAGAAAATACGACACGTTTTACAGTAATTTGGGAAACAGACTTCTCTCGTTTCAGCTGATTTGTGTCCATGTACAAAGCGAAGATTTTCTTTCCTAAAATAGGGAAACGTTCACATTACTACTGCCATGTTGAATCATTTCACTGATGGATTAACTGAGCAGTTTTCTTATTAACAGCTTTGTTTTCTCTGCCCCTGTACAGATGTCCTCCTGGTGGCAACAGATGACATTATGTTCCCAAATATTAAAAACGTACGAGCCCAGTCAGCTTAACATGAGTGCAGTGATTGTTATTCTGCTGTTGCTCTCAGTTTTACTCTCACTCTGATTATAATTATGAAACACGAGCACACCCACCCCCACATTTCTCTGCACATACTGAAAGAATCAGCGTGACATAAATAAATCTGCCACGGCTGAAGTCTGAAGATGGCCTGACGAACAGAGTTTAACCAAACACGACTGAGATCATCCTGAAACTAGATGGAAACAGCTGCTACAAATGTGACAACTTTATTGATACACGATCAGAAAACCGAGCGCGCTGTTTTGATCTTGTGTGATTTTAACTCCATCGCCTCAAATTTCACAACATATACATCATGCAGCGATTTTACCCAGGACGCCATTTTGGCCCCGTAGACATTCATCTGAAGCGGTTGCCTAGCAACATGTAGTGTTTACACTGTGGTGCGCTCTGTGGCCGCACAGGAAGAAGGTCCTGAGTTTGAATCCAGGTGTAGTTCGTTCTGCGTGGCCGCGTGTCCAGGTGCACCCAGTGAACCTGCAGTGAGCGTCTGCTGCCAGATGGGGGCAGTGTGAGCAGCTCTGCTTGTTCTGTTGTTCGTCTTTTTTTTTGTTTGTTTCTCTCAGTCCAGGTGAACTCCCTTACCTATTCAGCTCGCTTATCAACCAATCAGAATTTGACCAGCATACAGCGTCCTGTACGTCACCTCTGCAGCCATGAAACGAGTTTTATCCTGTTCTAATCCAGCTGAGGACGCTCTGACGTTTTGATTTTTAATGTTCCTGTAATTAACTCATTCAGACGTGTCGGCGCTCGTGTTGTTTTGGACTCTCTTTTTATAAATGACATAAAAATATGAGAACAATGTAATGATGTGAGCTAATAACACGAGAATTCAATGATCTAAACACGTTTCATGGGTAAGGATTATTTTATCTGACAACTAATTACATTCATTTTCATTTCATTTAGACCAAAATCAGCATTTCGCTTCGTTACGAGATGACTTCTGTGAAGCTGCTGCTGTTGTTGCAGGACAGCGTCATGACCCCCAACCACCCCACCAGCAAACCTGTCAAAATAAAAGTCATCCTGCAGTGAAATCAGAATAAATCGTGTCATCTGAGATCATGTTTGTCTGAGGTTAGGTTAACAGAGGAGACAGATTTTCACATTCAAACCTCCCATAGTTCTGTCGGGGCTTTTACTGTGAAAGGTAAACAGGAAGAGTTTCGTTTCACCGTGAAAGTTGCAGCAGTTTAGGCCGTTTACAACCTCAGCGATCATGTGACCAACTCCAACAGAACCAGGCTCAGGGCGGGGCGGGGATAAGACATTTCTGAGTCAGGTTTGAGGGGTCATGTGACAGCAGGTGCTCACCTGGTTGGAGATGAGGTCCTCGCAGACGGAGAGTGCCATCTGGATGGCGTTGGCCTTGTGCGTGACGGAGATGGCGTTCATCTTGAACTTGTCCTTCCCGTACAGAGCGTTGGCCTGACTCACCGCCTCCTTGAACACCTGCTCGTATCGCTTCTGACTCAGCACGGCGCCCACATTCACCAGCCGCGGCTCGCAGCCGCACAGCGCCACCGAGCAGCACTGCAGCACGGCCAGGAGCAGCACGCCGCGCAGCTCCACTGAGGGGAGGGGAAAGGAAGTGCATTACTAAAGGGACGATTTAGTCCCACCGTGGGGTCCTCAGATACGCCTGAGGGGACGCAGACGTCCAGACTGGCGTTTAAATGATGTCGTAACCCCGACTTAATCTCATAATCTGGATTTTTTTTTAAGGCTTCCATCGTCTTTTTTTTCTTGGTAATCGCAAAAAGATTTTTTAATTTTAATTTTCAAACAAAATGAAATTGATTTGATGTTAGCAGCTCTGCATCAGGTCAGACGCTCGATGTGAACATTCAAAATCAAAAGCATGTGAAACAACATGAAGGAAGATACAAAAGATTTGTCTCGTGACCTGATGATGTCACCTGAACCCTTCTTATCCCGGTGCTGATGTCATCATTCAACGGTTTATAAGGGGTCATTAAAACAAACGTGGGCGTGGTGAAGGCCGCCGTCAGTGCGTGACTTCCATCAGTGCAGTATGATAATAAAGATTTGTTTTGTTATATATTTTGGATTTTAATGTCAGAATTTACAGTTTTTACTCCATGATCTGGAGACTGCTTTTACATTTCCAGATTTTTATCTCGTGTTTTTTTTGTAATTTGTTTACAGTTTAAACAGACAATAATAATTTGATCTTTTCATTTGAATTTATGTTTTATAATCAGGAAGTCTGACACTGGAGGACAAGTCTGAGGCGAGCGTGGACGAATCAAAGAGTCTGAATCCTTCGATAAAGAAGCTAAAGTGAAGAAAAGTAGGAACGTGTGGTGGAGGTCAGCTGAGACGGAGGTGTGCGCACTTTGAGCTTCTGTGGGGAGGATTCAAAGAGCGATGCAGGTGGAAGTTTATCATTGGTGTTCCAGACCAGGAGTCTGCGTGAAGTGCTTGTGTTCAGTCACATTTCTGTGGAGACACTCGGGAATAGTGACAGGCGGAGCATACGGCTGTAAAAACGGGAAAAATCTCACAGCAGACTCACACAAACACAGAGAAATGAAGCTGAAACAAACAGAAGTGCCAAACACACCTGCAGAGACACAAAATGGCTCCATGAAGAAAATGAGACATGCAGAGACGACTAAACCTGGAGACGGACAGACCGCGAACCACAACGACTGAGAGCCAAACACAAAATGACGACTGCAAAGCTGCAAAACCTCCGAACAAGACCAAAAATGTAACAAAAAAACCTCAAGAGACACAAGATGAAGACATCCAGAACCACAACAGCTGCAGGGAGACAAAGTGCACACACCAAACGAGCACAAAAACACAACATGAGACAAGAAAACACAAACGTGTCAGAGACGCAAAACTGAAGAACAAAGCTCAGGGGCGACAAATCTGACAGCAGGAAGTGAAACACAAAGACACACAAGAAATACAGGAACATGCCTCAGAGCACAGACACACAAAACACCCAGAAAACCCCCAAAATCTACCCGACCTGCTCTGAGTCCAGTCTGAGTCCGGTCTGAGTCTGGTCTGAGTCCGGTCTGAGACCAGACTGATCTAGTCTGAGACCAGCTCTGAGTCCAGTCTGAGACCAGTCTGAGTCTGGTCTGAGTCCGGTCTGAGACCAGACTGATCTAGTCTGAGTCCAGCTCTGAGTCCAGTCTGAGTCCAGTGTGAGACCAGTCTTAGTGTTGTCTGAGTCCAGTCTGAGACCAGCTCTGAGTCCAGTCTGAGTCCAGTCTGAGACCAGCTCTGAGTCCAGCTCTGAGTCCAGCTCTGAGTCCAGTCTTAGTGTTGTCTGAGTCCAGTCTGAGACCAGCTCTGAGACCAGCTCTGCGACCAGCTCTGAGTCTGGTCTGAGTCCAGTCTGAGACCAGACTGATCTAGTCTGAGTCCAGTCTGAGTCCAGTCTGAGACCAGCTCTGAGTCCAGCTCTGAGACCAGCTCTGAGTTCAGTCTGAGTCCAGGTCCAGTTTGTGTCACGTTGCAGGACACTTGCTTTGCTCAGAGCCGTACTCAAACAAAAATACTCAGTTACTCTGCAGTTACTCCCTCTGATCTTGTTATTTATTTTTATTTTTTGTAAAAACCCAAACGAATCAATAAAGTGTAAAAACAGTCACGTGGTTCTGCCCGCGGTCATTCATACAGCACATTTACAGCACAATAAACACTCACTGATCCGGTCCTGCGGTTCTGGATCCGTTACTCGGCCTCCTGTTGATTTCTGTTTTGTCCTTCCGTGTTTCCGTGGGCCCGGTTCGGTGTGTCCGTGGGTCTGAGTCTGCTGCTGTTTATGACAGAGAGCCGCTGGAGCCCCGTGACACCGAGATCGCTGGGGTCCGGGTCGGACCGTCACGGACAGCCCGGTTCTCCCGGGATCGGTGCTGTTGCTCCGGGTCCGGGTCTCCTCCGTTTCGGTGCGCTCGCGGAATTCCAGGTGACCTGATGCTCACGAGCCCCTCTGCTCTGTCCTTGGATCACTGACGCTCGCTCCCAGCGTCCCGCGCGTTCACAAGCGGAGGAGAGGGAACGACAGCCACAGGAGCACGGGCACGAGCGTCGGAAATCCCGTCGCGTTCACGTCCGTCTGTCCGTTTTTCAGTGATTTATTGAAAATGTTCAGCATGACACCGACACTAAATCTAACGACCAGCGTGACGTGTCACCTGTTTATTGGCTGCTGGGAGGATCTGCATCACATGACCTTCATCAACAGATGGAGCTGCTCCATGCTGAGCGTGAGGAGGACACGATGTGATAATGGAGGATCCAAAATCACGGCTGTCATCAACATAGTCAATGACCATCTGTGAGCAGGAGGCTTCATATTTACACAGACTGGATATAAAGGATGGACACAGTCAGGACAACAACAGGGGGCGCTGTGTGCTCAGCCTCCTGACTTCCACCTGCTTGTAAAACAGAGGTTCCCAAAGTGTGGGGCGGGGGGGGCGGGATGAATTTTTAAAAAAAGAAAGAAAAAAGAGTGCTTGGACACTGGTACATGGACAGGTTTCTGACGGGGCGCCCACACAAACGCAAAGCAGAAGATGAAGCGTCGAATATGTTTCCAAACCAACTTCATTCTAAGCCAAAGACTAGAAAATCTGGTGAAGCAAATCTTCCCTTTGGCTTCACCTGCACAGGTGCGGAGGTAGGTCTCCCTGCAGGATTGGGTTTCCCTGCATCGGGAGCAGCGCTGGGCTGTTTAAATCACAGACAAACAGGATCCCACATTCTTGATCTTTAGTTCACAAACACTTTTTGTAATGACTAACTACTCCTGACATGTTGGAGATGTTTGCTCTTTATACAGTAAAGTTACAGCGGGATACAAATAACATCAGGCTGATCCTGCCACGGTTTGTTCCCTCTGTCACAGACAAACAGGATCCCACAGCTGTTTATGTTTTTGAACCCATTTTGCACAGAGAGGCATTTTTTGAAAAATGTATTGATAACAGTGTTGAATATTATTACACAGGAAATAAAACACGTAAAAAAATCCCACCGTGATGCCTCTGCCTTTGTAAACGGAGGGACAGTAACTGTGTGCAAAACCTGCAGACAGTCAGATTAACAGTATTGTGTCTCTATCTGCCATTCTGCAACTCATCCCATGTAAGCAATAACGTGGCCACAGCGTGACGTGAAAAAAGCCACATAGCTTTGACGCTGCGTGACCAACTCTGTATTCCTCATCCACATGTAAACGCAAAAAAGGAGTTTTAAAACCTCAGTTTTCAGTGATTTGAAACATCGTTTACGTGTCCAAACACTTAGAAACAGCTGCGTAGATTTTCTTGTAAAACAAAGGGTGGCCTAGCAAAAAGAGTTTGGGAACCACTGTCCTAAAACAATAACTAAAAACGACTCTGACAAACTTCACATGATTTTACTGCGTGCTGATTGGACCGTTGAAGGTTTAGGATGGTGCTCGTTTCCAAGCAATGACTCCAGCAGGTGATAGGAGCGTAGTTAGTCCAGCAGGAACTTCCGCCCGCTGGAGGCTGCCCTCATGTGGACATTAGATGAACTCAGAGGTTCGGTTTATAGAACGTCTTCCTAAACTGTGAATGTGAAGTGTGCTGACCGCACGCTGAGGGCTGTGTGAGCGCTCGCAGAGCAGCAGCAGAAGAAGAACCCAGCGCTCTGCTCTTCTTCTCTGGTTCTTTCTCTTTTTAAATCGGCTTTGCATCGCTGCCGTGATAGTTACCACGGCAACACAGATGCAGCTACACATCCTTCATGTGGTTGCCACAGAAACATGCATTTTGAACCTCTCATTACCCCCAGTCCCCCACCTACCCACTGCATAACACTGTAATTAACACGCCGTGATGTCATCAGGTGTGTTCACCACATGATCTCAGTCCACCTGCTGCAGCAGCCAAAATTAATTTGACAGATCATCCAATCAGAGAGCTGTATTGTTGGGCAGTAACTGCAGGGGAAGCTAAAGGTAGCTCACTCAGGTAAGTCCAACCTGACCTCCTCAGAATCAGCAGCCACTCAGTTTCCTTCCCGTTGCGAGGGTCACGGCTGTGAGCGCTGGAGCGAGGAGCCATGGGCAGCCTCTTTTGTACGCCCCTTGGTTTTAAGGTTTCCATCAGGCGGGGGACCCTACCACCACGTGCCGTTTATTACCTACTCAGCATGGGTTTATATCACCCTTCCTCTGAGGAAGGGTGATATAAACCCCTCCCCGCTTGAACTCTGCTGCTCAGGCACTAAAACTACGATTTCACCGTGAAACACGTGGACGGCCCCCGCACCGCCATCTGAGCAGGGACGGTCCCCACATAACAACATGGTCCCCTCTGTGTGCAGAGGCCGCTTTCTTTCAGCTCCGCCTCTTTGTGTGATGTCACTGGCAGGTCCTTGGAGTCTGATCTCAGCTGCAAACATGAAGTCAGACACGAGCGACCTCCATGTTTCATTTTGCTCTCTGGTGTTCGTGAGGAGGCATCCCTTCAGCTTCCAGGC